TGTACAACTCGCAATGTTATAGTTATTACAAAAGAGTCAAAAGTTAAAAAGATGTTAAAGTCCATGAAATGAAAAAGGTATAGTAAGCTAAGGTACATTTATTATTGAATACAGGAAAATCTTGGCTTAGAAGCCTGGTGCAGCCTAAGTGTGCAGTGTTTACACTGCCCATAGGAGGGTTCAGCAGTGTCCCAGGCCTTCACAGTCACCCAACACTCACTCACAGACAATCCTGCAAACTCCATTCATGGGTCGGTGCCCTACACAGGTGAGTCACTTTTCATCTTTTATACTGAAGTTTTACTGTAGCTTTTCTATGTTCAAATGTTTAGATTCACAGATACTTACCACTGTGTTCCAAACGTCTACAGCGTTCAGTACAGTAACAAGCCATACTAGTCTAAGAGTACTATAAGTAAGATTTTACACGGAACTCACAGATGAGTAAGACATAGCCCTGCCTTCAAACGACTGAAAATTGAGAAGAACTAAGAAACACTTACACAGGGTTATAGTCTTGTACACAGAGTTCTGAGAATTGGCTTTCTAATAAGTGGCCCTATAAAAGCAGTACTTAAGCCAGCACAGAAAGTAGGAAAGTCTGAATTATTCCCCCTTTGCAATTTTACCCAAAAGAATTCCTAAATTGCAAACCTTTCTCTCTATAACCCTTTAAAGGAGCAGGCCTCATCCAACAGTCATCCAACACCCACTCAATGAATGCCCTCTAAACACGGTGCTGTAACCCTGAATCCACATGCATGCCCTGTGTTTTTCCTTTAAATCCAAGAAAGTTTAGGATGAAACCTGACTTGGGTATGAGTTTATTCATTTGGGAGGGAAATGTTTGGTACCAGCACCTGGGACTCCTGCAGCTACTTTTCTCTGAGTTAAAATAATTCTAGATTTGAAATCAAGAAATTCTCTAAGATGTGAAACAAGAGTCCTGACATGACTTTACTGCCAGCCCTCAATAACCAGTGCAATAGAAAAGAAACGGTGGGTGAGAAGTATCCCTTGGTTTAGCAAAGAGATCTTGGCCAGTTAACTCTCAGGCAGGCTAATGCAAATAACAGAGAAGAGAAGAAAAGAATTGATACATTTTATAATTTTCTGAAAACAGCATCTTACCTTAAAGCAAAGAAGAAACAGAGCCTAAATAAAGCTCAGGAAGGTGGAGAAGAGTAGGCTGAGTGTTAGTCCAGATCTATGTGTAATAAATGTTTCCAGGTTAGGTGATGGGTTCTTAATTGTCACTGCTCAATATTTAAGTTTCCCACTATTGACTAAAATATTATTAATATTTCCCTCTCCCTTACAAAGTAGTAGCAGGGGGGCTCAGCATCTGCAGCTCAAGAGGCTAAGGCGCCAGCCACATCTACCAGAGCTGGCAGGTTCAAATCCAGCCAGGCCTGCCAAACAATGACTACAACCAAAAAATAGCCAGGTGTTGTGGCAGGCGCCTGTAGTCCCAGCTACTTGGGAGGCTGAGGCAAGAGAATCACTTAAGCCCAGAAGTTGAAGGCTGCTGTGAGCTGTAATGCCACGGACTCTACCGAGGGTAACCACTTCAGGCTCTGTCTCCCAAAAAAAAAAAAAAAAAAAAAAAAAAACAGTAGAAGGTATCAACTATACAAACACGGCCAGAAGCTAATGTTTCAGAGCATACCATCTGAGCATAAGCAGGAGCAGGTCTAACTACCACACTGACAGTACAAGACTCATCAATTGCAACTTCCAGAGATCGTGAGCATCCCCACCGCCAGGTGATTTGGGGGATGATTTTAATACACCATATCCTTTAGAACTCATCATCTCCATAATGAATGCATTTGTTCCAAAAATGATACTAATCTCCATAATGGATTCCAAGGCTTCCTCCTGCTGCTCTAACAGTGGATCTGATTATGCACACTCACTTCACAAATCCTGTCTCCTGCTTCTGTCCTCTTAGCCAAGAGATATACAGAAGTACAACAGTAACATCTAACCTTTATTAAGACCTCACTATGGCTGGGTGTGGTGGCTCAGACTTGTAATCCCAGCAGTCTGGGAGGCCAAAGCAGGTGGTCTGTCTGAGTTCACATGTCCAAGACCAGCCTGACTGAGCCAGAGTGAGATCTCGTGTATAAAAATAGTCAGGCATTATGACGGGTGCCTGTAGTCCCAGCTACTCAGGAGACTGAGGCAAGAGGATCCCTGAGCCTATGAATTTGAGACTGCTGTTAGCTATGATGCCACAGCCATCTACTAAGGGTGACAGACTCAGACTCTGTCTCAATTAAAAAAAAAAAAATAGAAGACCTTACTACGTGCACTGGGCTAAATGCTTTATGCACATTAACAGATGAGGGAGGTGCCGCTGCTAACCCCCTGATGAGCAAACTGATCTTCTGTGTTTACCTGGGTGGATTTGGAGAGCATCCTCCAAAGTAAGGTATCACAAGAATGGAAAAGCAAGTATCCAATGTTCTCAGTACTAACACGAAACTAGTAGATGAATAACCACACACCCACACAAGAGAAAAACATGACTAAATCCAAGAAGGAGGGGAGAGGAAAAGGGGGTGGGAAGCTCTCACCTCACGGGCACACTGTAGGGGAAATGTCACACGTCGGGTGAAGGGTTCACCCACAGCTTGGAATTCACCTAACAAATGGAGACAATGTAACCTAATCATTTGCACCCATATATTAATCTGTAATTAAATAAAAAATAATGTCCACCTAATGAAGAAGTGGCAAGGATTACTGAAAAAAAAAAAACAAACAAACAAAAACCAAAAAAAAAACCTTACCCAAGACCTCACAGCTAATAAAAGGCAGAATCAGGACTCACATTTGGGCTATTTGAAACCAGACCCTGTATGCCCCAACCATGGGGATTAAGAGAGTGTTTAAATCTAAGGGAAAGCCACCACCTGTTCCCAAATTCGGCAGAGGCACACTCACCTGCCCCATCAGGAGTGATGGTTCCCAGTTTCACAGCCAGAGGGTAGCCGGTGTCTCTGTAATGCTCCAGCGCGTGCCCATTGCCCCCAGAGCTGTCGAAGAACCACTTTCCACACAGCACAGAGCCATCGGTCAGATTCAACCAGAGATTTTCCCGGAGGTCACATCTGGCACACTTCCAACCACTGGAAAGCCATTGGAGAGCAGTCAGAATACCAGAGCATAGTAACCCAGTGAACATCTGAGGAGACAGCGCGTCTCAAACAGGGAGGTCGCAACAAGCACTCAGTGGACAAGAGACTGGAGCTTCCCACGTTCCCCACTCAGAACATTACCACTACCCTCCCAGAGCAGCAGGGTCACTCAGCACCCCGCGCGCCTCCCAGACTGGACAAGGACCCCCAGCATCTCCAAGATGATTCTTTTACTTCAGAAAACTGGCATACAGGCTTGGTGCCTGTGGCTCAAGCAGCTAAGGCGCCAGCCACATATACCTAAGGTGGCGGGTTCAAATCCAGCCCGGGCCTGCCAAACAACAATGACCGCTGCAACCAAAAAATAGCCGGGCGTTGTGGCAGGTGCCTGTAGTCCCAACTACTCGAGAGGCTGAGGCAGGAGACTCACTTGAGCCCAGGAGTTGGAGGTTGCTGTGAGCTGTGATGCCACAGCAGTTTACCCAGGGCAACAGCTCGAGGCTCTGTCTCAAAAACAAAAAAAAGAAAAGAAAGAAAAAGAACACTGACACACAACATGGGGGTAGGAGGCGAGGTCCTACACAAGGAACGTGGAAAATTCCTACACAAGGAACGTGGAACTTGGACAAGTTGAAGATACTAAGGACACCATGTGCGTGAGCATCTGAAGTTCTAGAGCATTGATCACACACGGTAAGACCAGTTTAAATAAAACCCTACTTGACTGCAAATCTACCCCAATTAGAAAGGAAACCAACTTAAGGTTAAACATCGGCTATGTGCCAGGTGTCTTACAGAAGTCTCATCAAGATAAACTACCTGAGGATTACACTCTGCATTTTCACAAAGGCAGAAACTGAGGCCCAGAAGTAAACTTCTTTCCTAAGACCACACAGACGGGAGTGCAGTTCAGCTGTCAGAGTTCAACCAGTCCAGACACATTCCTCATCCAACTGCTCTTTCCCCACGGCAGCTGCCTCTGTTACCCCCGAGCACCCAGTCAGAGGAGAAGCTCATGTACTCCAAAGAGCTTTCTGGCCAAAACATGATGGCCAATGACTGCAGTTGGTTGGGTTCTCCCAGAACATACTCTGACATAAACCTGTGGGTGTTAACGACTTGTGTGGGAGGCAATCCCAGGGAGAAGGGAAGAGAGACAAGAAAGGGCAGGAAAGGCCAGGTGCTTGGCCAGGCTAGGTGAAATCCTAACACTCTGGGAGACCAGACTGAGTAAGACTTCATCTCTAAAAAAATAGCTAGGTATTATAGTGGGCGCCTGTAGTCCCAGCTACTCAGGAGGCTGAGGCAAGATCACTTGAGCCCAAGAGTCTGAGGCTGCTGTGAGCTATGACGCCACAGCACTCTACCCAGGGCAACAAAGTGAGACTCTGTCTTTAAAGGGGGGGGGGGGGGGGAAGCAGATAGAGGAGGGTAAGTCAGTGAGCAAATGAGCACTGTGAGCCTCTGGGGCTCAGGCCAGCTGGGGACTATGAGAGACAGTAGTCCCCCCAGAGGGGCAGGCAGCTGGGTACCCACCGTCCAGTCCCTGGGTGAGGACTATTTCAGGAGGGAGCCTTCATCTGTGGCATTTCTGTGCCCCAGGCATCGGCCTAGACAGACTCCTTTGGCAACGAGCTACAAGAGCTGCAGCTAACTGACAGCTGGGGCACAGGGAAAGGCTTACGGGTGCGAGCTAGATGCACTGAGTGCCTATTACAAAGGTACAGATGATTTTAGAGAGAAATTTGAAGCTTATCATTTTTAATAAAAGACATCTGGTAAGACAATATGTAACTGCTAATTCAGAGAAGAGGTAAAAAAGCAAACATCCTCTTGGCCAGTTTTCAGGGGTGAAGCACGGCTTGGTTACCTGACTCTCACCTTGGAGGAATCCGGACCCCACTGTCCAGCTGCGTGAGGTTATTGGCATATTTAGACACTGGCAGTTCACTTTCCCATGTGTCTGGGTCCTGCTTCCTGTACGGAGACTTTGAGCTGAGAACTGCATCACAAGCAATTGTTACCTATGAGACAAACCCAGATGTAACATATATCAATAGTTTGAGAAAACAGAAATTTCTAGAAAGTAAATTTAAAAGCTTATTCATAAGTACAGCTGAACTGAAGACAATTCAGACTCCACAGCTACCACAAAAGCAAGCAAGGTCCCGGTTTCCTGCACTTTCCCCTGGATCTCACTCTGCTTTGGCTTTGGCCAAGAGCGCGCGGTATGGACAATAAATAAATTCCATTTGTAAGCTCACGGTTAGGGGTCAGATTTAACAATTCCAACCACTTAGCAAGCATGGTGAAAAGTACGAGGTGAACAATTCACAAGGGTGAAATCAGATACAGGAATACCCAGGATGTGCCCAAGTGGTTTGTTTTCCTCCTAACAAATGTGCACCCAGATATCCAATATCCTCAACTCATCACACAAAGGCATGTTGTCAAGGGCACTTGAATGGAATGTAAGCAGCACAGCTCCATTTCCTAATCTGGTCTGAATGTGACCCTGGGTAGGGACATGCCCAGGTGACTCTATGCCAGATTAGTTCACATCATGAGCAAATCTGTGATGTCCTGCTTGGCGTAACTGACCACAGGGGATTGCCTTCTCCCAAACCCTAACTGATTCTGGTCATAGGCCCATTACCAAATTTACTATTTGCTTAATGCCATAAGCTACTTCTAGCAGTTTTTAAAAACTTACATTCTGATGGCAAAGTAAAATGGGACAACCACATTGGAAAACAGTTTGGCAATCCCTCAAATGGCTCAACACAGTCACCACGTGAGCCAGCAATTCCACTGCTAGGTATATACTAAGACAAATGAAAATACATGTCCGCACAAAAGATTTTAAACAGAGCTGGGCACAGCAGCACATGCCTATAGTACCAGCTACTTGGGAGGATCCCTTAAGGCCAGGAGTTCAAAGCCGTAGTGCTTTATGATCATGCCTGAAAATAGCCACTGCACTCCAGCCTGGGCAACATAGCAAGACCCTACCTCTAAAAAAACCCCACAATTTTAAAAACAAAATAATTTACATTCTATATCACTAGCATCCTGCATAACAAGCTGACCGTTCTCCACTGAGTCTCACTGACAAGTGACCCCAGAACCAAGGAAAAAACAATGGGGGAAGTGCCTTCAGCCACCATCTGACCCTCACTCAGCCCTAAACAGTTCCTATGAGCCCTGGGACCAAAATAAATTTAGAATCCACCTCTTGTCCATTTCACCCACACTCCTAGTCCATTCACTGTCAGGGCTACACAACACCCTCCGTGCAGTTGTCTTTCCTCCACACCTACCCTGCTTCTTTGCACAGCATCCAACATGCTCTATGCCACCCTTCCCCACTTAAAACTCTCATGGCTACACTGAACACTCCACCAACTGATGACACGAGGCTACACAGTCAAGAACAAGAAAGAGGTCTCCATCCTCAAAAAGCTTATAATCCATTACAGACCAAGCATTCATCAATATATCTAAACTCTTCCAAGGAGACCCTCCCATTCACCCCTCACCCACAACCCTGTTGTTTAATGCCTTTCCTTTCAATCAGTAGAATTCACCAGTCACCACTTTCCAGGGATGCCCATGGAAATCAAGGGCATCAGAGTTCATTCACCACAAGCCCCTTCCAGATCTCATGGGTTCGGGACGGGCCACCGTAGCACTGTGGGTAACATCCTAATCTCTTTAGTCCGGCCTCTTATAACCTCTTTGTCTTTGTTTCACCGTCTACCTGATCTTTGTCCTCCTTGGGATTTTTTCCATCCTCATTAGACTTTTTTCAGTGTTCTGGTTTATAATGCACAATAATTTTGAATAAGAGTCAGATGGGATCGCCCTCTCTCTTCTTCGAAAGAACTTTTCCAGTGACACCCAATATCATCTAAAATCACTTAAAGGGGCTAAGCACCTGTAGCTCCATGGTTAGCGTGCCGGCCACATGCATCAGAGCTGGTAGGTTCGAACCCAGCTGGGGCCGGCTAAACAAAAAAAAAAAGCCAGGTGTTGAGGAGCTGTGGCAGGCGCCTATAGTCCCAGCAGTCTAGGGAGGCTAAGGCAAGAGAATCTCCTGAGCCCAAGAGTTGGAGGTTGCTGTAAACTATGACGCCATAGCACTCTATATAGAGGGCAACAAAGTGAGACTCTGTCTCTAAAAAAATAATAATAAAATCACTTAAAGACCCCTTCTCAGCTAAAGGTCAGGATCTGTCATCCTAAGAATACATCATCCAGTATAATCCTAATTACCCTGTGAATTATTTTTCCCTGGATTTGCTGTCTGGAACAAATTGAAAAGATCTTGGAACTAGCCCTGGCTCCATCAAGGTCTCCATAGACTTCAAGTTCAATGAGCTGAACTGGCTCCAACTGGCTCAGAAGAGTTCATCACTACATTTTAATAAATTTTGCAAGATAGTTGCTAAACATATTCATTATTGAAAATCAAATTATAGAAACTTACAATTAAATAAAATGTTCTTTTAAAGGTGACACAGTCAAAAACTCTTCTCTTCTCAATTGTTTTACCATATCTTACTATAACCTATGTGTTCCTGAGGTTATATATGCCCCTGTAGCAGAATGGTAGAGATTCTATATCTCTTTCCAACAATGCATTCAGTGATGTCATGCTGTTAGCCTGAAATCAGCCAGGCTGACAGTATTTAGGAGGAGGGATTAGCAATACTATAAAACAAGGCATTAGCCCCCCAGGGAGCCTGTTGTTAAACATTTACAAGCACATCACTGCTCTGGTTCTGATGTTCAGGCTTGAGATCCCTGCTAGGCTCACAAGGTTATGTCTCTGTGACCCCTGCATCTCTAGTCCCTCAGAGGTGGTTTAACATCCTCGAGAACTGATAGAGGAACTCTTCCACATGGAAACTGTTCTGTGCTAAGATGCTCGAGAGATGGAGAAGTCATCTAGTCAGGTTTTTTTGAGCTCAGAAATTTTTGTTACTTAAAAGTTTAAAATAGCCGAGCCCTGTGGCCCACACCTGTAATCCTAGCACTCTGGGCAGCAGAGGTGAGTAGACTGCCTAAGCTCATGGGTTCGAGACCAGCCTGAGCCAGAGTGAGACCATATCTCTACTAAAAAATACAAAAAACTGGGCAGCGCCTGTGGCTCAAAGGAGTAGGGCACCTGCCCCATATGCCGGAAGCGGCAGGTTCAAACCTAGCCCTAGCCAATAACTGCAAAAAAAAAAAGAATACAAAAAACTGAAGCAAGGTCCCTTGAGCCCAAGAGTTGGAGGTTGCTGTGAGCTGATACCATGGCATGCTACCAAGAGTTACAAAATGAGGCTCAGCGTCTGTGGCTCAAGTGGCTAAGACGCCAGCCACATACACCTAAGGTGGTGGGTTCGAATCCAGCCTGGGCCCACCAAACAACGATGGCCGCAACCAAAAAATAGCCGGGCCTTGTGGCAGGCGCCTGTGGTCCCAGCTACTTGGGAGGCTGAGGCAGGAGACTCGCTTGAGCCCAGAAGTTGGAGGTTGCTGTGAGCTGTAATGCCACGGCACT